GTAGTCAGTGCCTCGGATGTTATCGAAGCACGATCATAGTCAACAGATTCAACAGAATGAGTTCTTTGCACATCTTTGACCAGCCTTAAGCATAGAAGTGATAACGATACTACTGAGTTACGGTGAAAGTCACACTATTTCAATAAAAACAGCTTCTTACTTATCCATACTCAAGAGCGGCAGAAGAGCTCCTCCTTTAGCAGTTGCAATTGAAAAAGCATCCTCACCCTGGAAGATATCTCCTTTATTTCAATAAATCTACTGATTTCATAAAAGCATTTTCATTTATGTATCAGTGAGTGAAAGCGCGCGCTGACCGCAGTTTAGACCAATAAAGCCTGACTAATATCTAAATGGCTAAGACTCTGAGGTACTAACGCCAAATCTAAAAATAATTGGGGAAAATGCTATAACTGTCAAACCTTATCGGTTCTGCGCGAAGGATCAGCGCCTGACGCAAGAAGTTGTCGCACAATAGACTCATCACCTCGACGTACGGACGTGTAAAGTGGTGTTTCGCCCTTCGCATTCGCAAGATTGACATTCGCACCACTTTCACAAAGTGTTCTGAAAAGGTCGAGGCTAGACCGCAAGCCAAAGTTGGGGCTCCAATTTACGCACTTGACGATATCAACAGTCGAAAAATCTGAAGCCCAGTTCAGCAAAGTATTCTGCGACTGCTTCGAATCTAGGGAATCGACCGGTATGCCAGAGGAAATAAGCTGACACAGTCGTCCATTGCTGTAACAATGGACTTTACAGACTACATTGCTTACTCCCGATGAAGTTGAATTAGCAGACCACCGTATTGGTAGTGGAAATAATCCCTGAACGCTGAAGATAAGAAAACAATCATGATGTGGTAAATTCAAGGTTGTAATAAAGCAAAAAGTCAGTCTGAGCCATAATGTCACGGGATGGGTCTAAAAAAAGCAAAGCAGGACGTTAACAGATTGTTGAAAAGAGCTGCAGAATATTTCTGCAGAATCAGGTAAGCAATAAATTATGCATGATCTTGTTTAAAATATGGTTTGTTACAGCGTGTAGTGGAGTTCGTACTGAATTCGCCGCTATTCGTGGAATAGGGCAGTAAAAATAAAGTTTGTTAAAGAGCTAAAGAGCAAGGAAAGCGAGAAATCAGTCTGAACAGATAAAGCCGACGGGAAAAAAAGCAAAGCTTACTACAGCGATGAATGCATATCAATGAAAGCTTGATCTGACTGAACAATATATAAAAGAAAAAGAAGAAACAACGTACTTAGACAATGTGATAGCTCGTAAAGCTTCTTGGACAAAAGAATTGCGTACGACATCCGATTTGCACATTTGATATGCAGTTTTTCCATCCTCATTCTGGACACAAGGGTTTACTCCGTTAGACAGGAGCGCGCTGACGAAATCAGACGAATCTAAAGTTGAGCATGATCAAAAAGGAAAGGATTAATGGAAGTGCAACCGACGCTTATTCTCTTAAATGCACTAACTTCAAATTATTCAAAAAGTATTTCAGGTTAGCTGGCCAACACAAAGACAGGATATACTAACATGCCTAGAACCAGCCCTCAGCAAAACATACAACTGCGACAAAGCTGCAGTGGGTTTGACGCGTTGGAAAAAGCGTGCAAATAAATTGATTTAGAGGGATACTTAAAGACTAGTAACTTTGAGTAAGCATCTGTATACCAATGATGGCCTTCGAATTAAAAAAAAAAGTCTGCTATATTTGAAGTAGAGACACTTAGATCAGCAAATGTAGCCACACATTATGCTGATGTAAGATCACTGCTTTCTTTTAATTACAATTATC